CACCAGAGATGGCACCTGGTGGCAGCAGCTTCTTCTCCTGCTTATCCTGGTCCAGGGCCTATGGCTTGGGAATATGTGGGAAGCAGTGGGTAAGAGCCTGAACCAGGCAGAGGACACTCGCAAGTCATCAATGGTCCTATTGATGAATCCGATGGACACTTCTTCATCTTTATCTTATTTGATCTATCAGGGATCTCTGACAATTCTTGAGGCTCTTGGCTCTATGACAGTGCCGCCTCCTGTAGAGCTTTTTGCTTTACTACTTTTTTGATCCCTCCTTGGTTTCCTATAGGTTTTTTCTTTAACATCTGCCCTTCAAAAAGTGGTATTCCCAAAGGGTTTAATCCTCAATGCTCTTCTCTCTCTTTATATGAGTTATTTCTACCTTCAGGGAAGGGGCATCACGACCTTTTCCAAATCTGGTGAAAGTAATGGACCCTCTCCCGAGCTGGCTGCAAACACCCAGTGCCTTGCATATAATTTCAGGGGTTCACAGATGCTGCGATGCTTATCACTGCTCTCCCACAACCTTCTTGACCTGGCAAAGCCCTACTCACCCCGGAGATCCAGATCAGACCTCATGCCACTCCCTGTGGGACCCTCTTTGACCCACTCTCTCCCCAAAGGAGGGTAAAAGACACTCCTCTACACTGGGCTCTATCTCAGCACCAGCCCACTGGGTTTAACAGCCACTTCCCTGCCTGCCTGCCTGCAAGTCTGTGAAATGAGCTTCCTGAGGTCAGAGAACATTTCATGTTCTTCTTTGTATATTCCACTCCATAGCAAAGTACCTAGCTCATAAAAGGCACTCAGCAGACATTTGATTACAAATAATTATGTGAATTGAATCTATTTTCAAAGCAACCGTGTGAAATGCATATCAAAATTCTTACTTTGCAGCTATAGAAATCAAGCCTCAACGTGAATTATCCTTAGACCCAAAGTCAGGAAGGGGCAGAGCTGAGCTGGAAATCCTGGTCTGCTGGCCTTCATAGCTCATTCTCATCTCACCACGCCAGGCTGCTTTGAACCCATGTGGTCCACTAACAGCATGTCCCCTGCTCTTCCTGGCTCCCTCCACTGGAGTCAGGGTTGCTACTACTGAGATTGACAAAAGAGAACTAGCCCAGAAAACACCAGATCTGGCCACAGCAAAGACTGGGTGCTTCCTCATCTTACACCCCCATCACCATTATCACCATTTGGGCCTTAGGTGGGATCCTCATGGATTTAAGTATTGGGCAAAGAGAACATCCCTTATGGTTCCTCATCTTCCCACAAATTAAAACCCAGAACAAAGCGAGAGGCCTGGCAAAAGCATCAGACGGGAGTTCAACCCCATGAGACCAGGGTGCCAGGCAGGGACAAAATGGATGTAAGGGCTAAGGATCAAAGCAGAAACCCAGGCATCCATCAATCCATGCGCTTACTCATTTGCTGAATCACTCAGCAGATATTGATCACGCTCCTGCTGAATGTCAGGCACTGGTACATACACCAAGGGTGTAGGAATAAGCAAAACAAAGTCCCTGACCTCAAGGAGTTTGCATTCAGCTGAAGGTTGATAAGCAATAAACGAATACAGAAGTGCTATGGTGCGCTGGTTGGTGACAGTGCTATGGAGAGAGGTTGAGCAGAGCAAGGGACCTGGAAGTACTGGCCATGCTGGCCCACTGGGGACTAGGGGAAGGCCTCACTGACATGGTTAATTTGAGGAGAGACCTGAGAAGAGGAGGGCAGGAGTTAAGGGATATCTGCAGGAACAATGTCCTAGGCAGAGAAGAAAGCAAGTGCAAAGGCCCTGGGGCAGGAACTTGCTTTGTATATTCATGAAACCTCCAAGAGGCCAGTGCAGCCGAGTGGAGTGAACTGTACCACTGGGAGGAAGGGGGAATCTGAGGGATACGGGGATAAACGTGGTGACCTGTGAATACCACATCCCTCTTCTCTTCCCTGCTCATGTCTGAGCAAAATGTTAAACAAAACAGAGTGGTAGGTGGAGGCCCAAATATTACCTCTCTTACTAATAAAGGCTAAGTTGGAAAATGGAGCTTAATGCGAGAGTCATATGGAGGCTGCTATATGAACCCAGAATGAGATGGATTCATCCCCCCACAGAGGTAACACTGTAGTGGGGCGTGCAGCCCTGCAATGTTGGGGATAACCTGCCTCCTCAACAGTTGAGAGCAGCCGAGAACATTGCTCCCTGCAGATAACTAGGTCCCTAGAAGAAGAAGGGATGCTGAGTCAAACATACCAGCTCATTCTTCCCAAGTTGCACAGATCAAAGTGTACTGACTGAACTCCCTTCCCATGGAAGGAATGGGAGGTAGTGGGTTCTCTCCAAACAGCAGCTCTGTTTCCCCAGTTTACCTGGGCCATTGGTGTAGCAGGGTGACTGAACTCTGCACCAGGCTTGGTTAGTATTCACTCTGGTTCTACAAGGTTGCCTCAGGAATGAGGATGGGCCTAAATCAGCTGACGGTTGGCCATCAGTATACTCAGCAATTAAGAATGGATCTGGGGGGCCGAGGGCATCAGAGGCGAGGAAAATAAGATAGCACTGACCACTCAGACCACAGAGAACCACAGTAGGCCTAACACGCTATGGAAAGTCATCGAATGATTGATCTCAAGTTGTCCAAGCTACAGACATATCTTCAAGGAAGACAGAATGTTCCCCTGACAATTTCAGTTTATAAAGGTTTTACAGCAAAAGAGTGTGAAGTTAGACTTAGGGCTGAACTTCACTGATGTGCATAAGAGATACCAGGTGAGAGGTAGATAAATTTTGAGGGGTGTGGAATAGTAGGAGGGCTTACCTATCTTCTGTTTTGGTTGCAGCAATTACCTGTGGACACCCAGGCAACCCTGTCAACGGCCTCACTCAGGGCAACCAGTTTAACCTCAATGATGTGGTCAAGTTTGTTTGCAACCCTGGGTATATGGCTGAAGGGGCTGCTCGGTCCCAATGCCTGGCCAGCGGGCAATGGAGTGACATGCTGCCCACCTGCAGAAGTGAGTCACCCTTTCTCTCCCACTCCACTCCCCACCATCTCTGCCATATGTGGTTCTGTAGCTCAGAAAAAGAAGCCAGTGAATTCATTCTGGCATCATGCTGACCCAGATAGGGAAGATGGAGCAGAGAAGGGTCATAAATGAGGACTTTCTCAACCCTTAGATAGAGCCACATAAAATTTCATCGTCATGGGTTATACAAGGAAAGCAAAACATCGTTTTATCTTTCAGGTCTTCTTCTGTACATTTCATTGAACAAATAATGTATCATTATCATATAAAGCCCCATTATTTTTTAACAGAGGTTTATTTTTCTCACATAAACAGGAAATCTAGAAGTACTATTATTTCTATGCTGCTCCATGAGATCGGGAGCAATATCTTGGTCTTTCCTTGTGGTTGCAAAATGGCTGCTGTGGCTCCCTTGGAACCACACTTAAGAGATCCCCATTCTGATGAAAAAGCAGAGGGTTAAATCAGAGAGCCTAAGAGTTGAGATAAAGGGGGTGAGGGCTGGGGGAAAATACACAGAGAGGAAGCCAAAGACTCAAAAAGCAGACAGAATAGAGAATGTCCTGGCTCCATTTGGAGTATTTAGGAAATAGCTTCTAACATTTTTAGAGGCTTTTGATAGCAGTGAAGCCTCAGACAGGTTCATCAAAAGTAAAAATCCTTAAAGGCTTATCAAAGATTTTTTAAAAATACCTTCCTGCCCACTTCATATGATGAGTTTGAGACTCAGGTAAGATAATGGATTTGAAGATGTTTGGAAAGAAAAATATAGTCATGGGTTATGAATAATATTGTCATTATTCTAAAATCTTATCCTGATTTTGAGTTAAACTGCTTTGGAAACACTTTTAAGATTTTAAAGTCAAATATATCCCCCAGGATATTAATGTGTCCCTGAAATACTCATAAAAGTGATTAAAACCATTTTCAAAAGAGCCCAACCCTGTTCAAGTCAGTTGAAATGCATCAGTTTTACAATTGACAAGCTTTGCTGTGGGAGGCACATTGTGCTAGGATCAGACACATGCAGACTAGACATTCATGCCCTCAAGGGACTCATGTGTTCAAACAAGTCACAGCAGAGGCTGGTAAAGTCAGCAATAGCGATTCGTGCAAGGGAGTACCAGAAAGGGAGTAATCAGTCTGGGAAGAAGTGGGAAGGGTTCTCTAAGGAGGTGATGTCTAGCTGGACATGGAAGGATGACTCTTCTGACCAGGTAACCAAGCTGAGGGGAGAAGGCCACCAGCCTCTGGACCAGCTCACTCTTCAGAAAGGGTCTGCTTCATTGCCTAGTTTTGCTCTAAATATTTTGCTATACTGGGAATCCATGCCTGTTTGGACTTCTGTTCAATTGCAGTCATCAACTGTACAGATCCTGGACACCAAGAAAACAGTGTTCGTCAGGTCCACGCCAGCGGCCCACACAGGTTCAGCTTCGGCACCACTGTGTCTTACCAGTGCAACCACGGCTTCTACGTCCTGGGCACCCCAGTGCTCAGCTGCCAGGGAGATGGCACATGGGACCGTCCCCGCCCCCAGTGTCTCTGTAAGTAGATGTCACCTGCTCAAAATGACTGATGGGGTGACCCATGTCAAAGAGCAGTCCTCCCCTCTGTGCATGTGCGTGTGTGTGTGTGTGTGTGTGCATATGTATGTGTTGCCTTACGGTGACAGTCACTCTGGCTACTCCTGGGATTTCAGATTCCTTCTTGAGCCGCTGTTGGGTGACTTGCCATACCAATTTTTGTGTTCTCACTTTCCTAGCTAGAGGCCTGGTCCTTTTCTTCTCTAGAGTTACCACCCTCTTCAGCTTACAGAGTTCCCTTTTCTCAGAACTGGCTGCCTAGTGGGACACCATCTCCCAGCTTTACCCCTTCCTTGCCCTTACAGAAAGACAGCACATGAACCCCTTCCCTTTAAAGGACTGAAACAGAAAGGCCCCAGACTCTGGAGGCAGACCAAGTTGGACTGGAATTCTGGCTTTGCTACTGAACAAGTAGTATGGTTTGGGGAAAAGTTCACTAACCTCTCAGAACCTCAGTTTCTTCATCTATAAAAATGATGCCAGTACCTATTCCATAGGGTTATTAGAGGATTAAAGAAAAAAATCTATGAAAAGTGTCAGGATAGTGTCTGGTACATAGTAGCTACTCAATAAACAATGACCACATTAATTATTGTTAGGAAAAGATATGAGGACATGTTTTTTAAAAGGGGTTGGGGAGGTGCTCAGAATCCTGATGTATTAGTCTGTTCTCCCACTGCTATAAAGAACTGCCCAAGACTGGGTAATTTATAAGGGAAAGAGGTTTAATTGACTCACAGTTCCACAGGCTGGGGAGGCCCCAGGAAACTTACAATCATGGTAGAAGGAGAAGCAAACATGTCCTTCTTCACATGGTGGCAGGAGAGAAAAGAATGGGCAAAGTTGGGGAAAAGCCCCTTATAAAACCATCAGATCTTGTGAGAACTCACTCACTATCATGAGAACAGCATGAAGGTAACTGCCCCCATGATTCAATTACCTCCCACCGGGTCTCTCCCACAACACGAGGAGATTATGGGAACTATAATTCAGGATGTGGTTTGGGTGGGGACACAGCCAAACCATATCACCTGACATCTGGTCCCTGGCCTTACACGTCCTTATGAGAAGACAACCCCTTGGTTTCCTGCTCTCCCCTCTGGTTCCTAAAGCTGAATCCACACAGATTTCTCTCTCCCCCATCTTCCAAGAAGCAGAGAAGTGAAGATGCACTCAAGAGGGAGTAATGAATATGCAATTAAGGCCATTCAGCAGTCCACCTACCTTTGGCAGATTATATACATTTTGTAGGCCCTCCAGTCTGGGCGACTGCATTTTTTATGCCCTCATGCCTGTAGGTCTAACAGGAGCCTGGTATAGCTACTCACTGCTTGTAGTTTCCTTGCTTGAGAACTCTGGCCTGGCCATCCAATCCCATTTATGACCAGCAAATTGTTTGGGGTCAGAAATGGACACCATCCATGTACAGTGGTGCCAGCTGAGATTAAGAGCGCCTAGTGGGCTCAAATTGTTTTTTCTTCTGGTAAAATGCAGCTTTTATCATAATAAAGTGACCATATCCATATTAACTTTTTGTCCCAATGTTTGTTTTATCTGAAGTTAATTCAGTCACATATTCAGGCTCCTCTTCTAACTCTGTTTCTCTGCTGCTCTAATTCTAGTTCTCTTGATGCTGCTTCAGGGGAGGAGTGAGCTCCTCCAATGTCATGCATGAGGGTTGGAATCAGCTTACTTCAAACTCCTTTTAATGTTGCTGTTGATATAACTAATAGGTATATATATTAGTATACAGGCATACATTGGAGATATTGCAGGTTCAGTCCCAGACCACTGCAATAAAGCAAATATCGCAATAAAATGAGTCACACAAATTTTTTAGTTTTCCAGTATAGTCTAAGTGTGCAATAGCATCATGTCAAAAATATATGCATACCTTAATGAAAAATACTTTATTGCTAAAAAGTACTAACAATCATCTGAGCCCTCAGCAAGTCATATTCTTTGTTGGTGGAGGACTTTGCCTCGATGTTGATGACTGCAGACTGATCGGGATGGTGAAGACTGGTGTGGCTGTGGCAATTTCGTGAAATAAGACAACAGTGAGGTCTACCACATGGACTGACTCTTCCTTTCATGAAAGGTTTCTCTGTAGCATATGCTGCTGTTCGATAGAATTTTATCTACACAGTATAACGCCTTTCAAAATTGCAGTCAGTCTTCTCAAATCCTGCTGCCACTTTATCAACTAACTTCATGTGAAGTTCTAAATCCTTTGTTGTTGTTTCAACAATGTTCACGGCATTTTCACCAAAAATAGTTTTCTGATTCTTCTTAGGAAACCACTTTCTTCGCTCGTCCGCAACAAGCAACTTCTCATCTGTTTGAGTTTGATCATGAGATTTCAGTAATTCAGTCACACCTTCAGGCTCCACTTCTAATTCTAGTTCTCTTGCTACTTTTACCACATCTACAGTGACCTCCTCCACTGAAGTCTTGAACCCTTCCAAGTCATGTGTGAGAGTTGGAATCAGCTTTTTCCAAACTCCTGTTAATGTTGATATTTGGACCTCCTCCCATGAATCACAAATCTTCTTAATGGCATCTAGAATGGTTAATCCTTTCCAGAAAGTTTTCAATATACTTGGCCCAGATCCATCAGAGGAATATACTATCCATGGAAGTTATAGCCTTATGAAATGTGTTTCTTACATAATAAGACTTGAAAGTCAAAATTATTTCTTGATCCATGGGCTGCAGAATGGATGTTGTGTTAGCAGGCATGAAAACAACATTCAATTCCTGTACATCTCCAGTTCTGATGTACAGGAGCTCTCCATCAGAGCTCTTGGGTGACCAGGTGCATTGTCAATGAACAGTATCATTTTGAAAGGAATCTCTTTTTTCTGAGCAGTAGGTCTCAACAGGGGGCTTAAAATGTTCAGTAAACCATGCTATAAACAGATGTGCTGTCATCCAGGCTTTGTTGTTCCATTTATAGAGCACAAACAGAGTAGATTTAGAATAATTCTTAAGGGCCCTAGGATTTTCAGAATGGTAAATAAGCATTGGCTTCCATTTAAAATCACCAGTCGCAGTCATCCCTAACAAGAGAGTCATTCAGTCTTTTGAAACTTTGAAGCCAGGCATTGACTTCTCTCTAGCTATGAAAGTCCTAGATGGCATATTCTTCAAACAGAAGGCTGTCAGTGGCTCATGCTTGTAATCCCAGCACTTTGGGAGGCCGAGGCGGGTAGATCATGAGATCAGGAGATTCAGACCACCCTGGCTCACATGGTGAAACCCTGTCTCTACTAAAATACAAAAAAATTAGCCAGGCGTGGTGGTGTACACCTGTAGTCCCAGCTACTTGGGAGGCTGAGGCAGGGGAATTGCTTGAACCCAGGAGGCAGAGGAGGTTGCAGTGAGCCAGGATGGTGCCACTGCACTCCAACCTGGTGACAGAGCAAGACTCTGTCTCAAAAAAAAAAAAAAAAAAGGCTGTTTTTTCTACCTTTAAAATCTGTTGTTTAGTCATCAATTAGCTTAGCTAGATCTTCTGTGTAACTTGCTATAGCTTCCACATCAGCACTTGCTGCTTCACCTTGCACTTTTATGTTATAGAAATGGCCTCTTTCCTTAAACCTCATCAGCCAACCTCTGCTTGCTTTGCACTTTTCTTCTGCAGCTTCCTCAACTCTGTCAGCCTTCATAGAATTGAAGAGGGTTAGGGCCTTGCTCTGGATTAGGCTTTGGCTTAAGGGAATGTTGTGGCTGGTTTGATCTGCTGTCCAGATCTACCTACCTTCTATGGTAGGTGGATGCCAAGGACAACGCTAAGCATCCTACAATGCACAGGACAGCCCCCTACAATAAAGACTTACTCAAACTTTCTCCATATCAGCCATAAGGCTGTTTCATTTTGTTATTCATGTATTCACAGGAGCAGCCCTTCTAATTTCCTTCAGGAACTTTTCCTTTGCATTCACAATTTGGCTAATGGTTTGGCTCAAGAGGCTTTGCTTTAGGGCTGTCTCGGCTTTCAACATGCCTTCCTCACTAAGCTTTTAATCATTCCTAGCTTTTGATTTAAAGTCAGAGACACAAGTCTTCATTTCATTTGAACACTTACAGGACATCATAGGGCTATTAATTGGCCTAATTTTGATATTGATGGGTCTCAGGGAATAGGGGCACTCAAGGAGAGGGAGATAGACAAGGAATGGCCGGTCGGTGTAGCAGTCAGAACACACAACATTTGTCAATGAAGTTCTCCTTTTTATGTGTGCATGGTTCATGGCGCCCCAAAACCATTGCAATAGTGACATCAAAGATCACTGATCACAGATCACCATAGCAGATGTAACAATAATGAAAACGTTTGAAATATGGTGAGAATTACCAAAAGGTGACGCAGAGACACGAAGTGAGCATGTATTATTGGAAAAATGGTGCTGTTAGGCTTGCTCAACACAGGGTTACCAAAAACCTTTCATTTGTAATAAACACAACATCTGTAAAGCACACTAAAGCAAGGCACAATAAAACTAGGCGTACCTGGCCGGGCGCAGTGGCTCACGCCTGTAATCCCAGCACTTTGGGAGGCCGAGGCAGGCGGATCACGGGGTCAGGAGATCGAGACCATCCTGGCGAACACGGTGAAACCCTGTCTCTACTAAAAATACAAAAAATTAGCCGGGCGTGGTGGCGGGCGCCTGTAGTCCCAGCTTCTCGGGAGGCTGAGGCAGGAGAATGGCATGAACCCGGGAGGCAACGGAGCTTGCAGTGAGCAGAGGCCGCGCCACTGCACTCCAGCCTGGGAGACAGAGCGAGACTCCATCTCAAAAAAAAAAAAAAAACTAGGTGTACCTGTAACTTATAACCAGCTTCCTTCTTTTAGTATTGGCATGATTTTTTAATCATTTTATTTTTTAACTGCTCTCCATGTAAAAAGCAGGTAATTGTGATTTTTAAATCCTATCTGACAATCTTTTCTTTCAGGTGGAAGATTTAATCCATTTGCATTTTTTCTTTCTTTTTCTTAGTGAAATATAATTCACACACCATAAATTCATTCTTTTCATGTGTACAATTCAGTGATTTTAGTGTATTCACAAGGTTGTACAAGCATCATCACTGTCTAATTCTAGAACACTTTCATCGTTCCCAAGCAGCCCTTAAAAGTCACTCCCTATTGCCCACCCCCACCCCAGCTCCTGGCAACCTCTAATGTACTTTTCTGTCTCTATGGATTTACCTATTCTGGACATTTCATATAAATGGAATTATATGTGTGTCTTTTGTGTCTGACTACTTCCACTTAACATAAAATTTTCAAAGTTCATCCATGTTTTAGCATACATCAATACTTTATTCCTTTTGGCCAAATATTGTTTCATGATATGAATATACCATATCTTGTGTATCCATTCAACAATTGATAGATGAGCTGGGACTATTATGAACATTTCCACTTTGGGACTATTATGTTTCCATTTTTTAGCTATTATGAATTATGCTGCTTCGAACATTTGTGTATAAGTTTTTGTGTGAACACGTATTGTCAATTCTCTTGGGCATATACCTTGGAGGGAAATTGCCAAGTCATGTAGGAATTCTATGTTTAACTTTTTGAGGAACTGCCTAACTGTTTTCTAAAGTGGTTGCACCATTTTCCATTTCTACCAGCAGTGTGTGAGGATTACAGTTTCTCCATATTCTTTCCTATGCTTGTTATTGTTCATCATTTTTATTATAACCATCCTAGTGGATGTGAAGTGCTATCTCATTGTAGTTTACATTTGCATTTCTCTAATGACAAATGGTGTTAAGCATCTTTTATGTGTCTACTATGTAACAAATCATAGTGACTTAATGCAACAGCCATTTTCTTGCTTATGATTGGCAATTCTGGCAGGATTTAGTGGAGATAGCTCATCTCTGCTCCACATGTTATTGGCTGTTGTGGCTGAGGTGGACCTAGAAGATCCGAGATGGCCTCACTCACATCGTGGCGCTGGCTGTCAGCTGGGGCATTGTGATTGTTCTCCACATGGTCTCTCCCCTCATTTGAATTCTTGTCATTTGGTAGTCTCTGCCAAACTTCCTTACATGGTGGCATGGTACTCCAAACAATGAAGGTAGAAGCTGCCAAGCCTCTTAGGATGTAACTTGGCTCAACATCACTTCCACCATGTTTTGTTATTCAAAGCAAGTCACAAGGCCAGCCTGATTCAAGGGGAGGGGAAAGGGAAAACAGGCTCTACTCCTTGATGGAAGGAATTGTTAGTAGCAGCAGTCTGCAGGTAATCTACCATAAGCATTTAGAACAATGTTTGACCCATATCAAGACCACACTGAGAAGTGAAGATACCTATTCTTATCATCCCAGTACCAACCAAAATTCATCATCAGGGTCAGCACTGGCGAAACCCAGGTTTTACCACTTCGTCACCTGTTGTGGTCTGCCTCCATGCTATGCCCTGTGTCCTTTCTGGGTACCATGTCTACAGGGATCTCCTACCAGACTCCAAGATTTAGTCCAAGTCATTATCATCTCTCCTTGAACTACTGCAACAGCTCGCTCTTTCTTGTACCACCTGGTCCTTTCTCTACACAGTAACCAGTATAATCTTGTTAAAATGTAAATCAGATTATATAACTCCAGTGGCTTCCCAAGATGCTCATAATAAAATCCAAATTTCATGCCATGATCTGGCTTGTAGTGACCTCTCCACCCTTGTCTTCTTCCATTCTGTCCTGGCTCATTCCAGTGCAACATCCCTGGCTTCCTTGCTGTCTCTCAAACATGGCAAACTCACTCTGGCCTCTGGCCCTTTATACCTGATGTTCCATCCCCCACGATACTCTTCTCCAAGATTTTGTATGGCTGGCTTCTTCACGTCATTCAAGTCGCTTCTCAAAGTCACTTGATCTTCCCTGATGACCCTGTTCAAAAATAGCACCTTCATCTCATCCCAGAACACCCTTTTCCTGACACAGCTTTACTTTTATTGATAGCACCCCCTGGAATTACCTACTCATTTTCTTACTTGTAATCTCTCTTCTCCATGAGAATATAAGCAAAGACTTTGTTCTCACAAACATGTGGAGTGCCTGGCACATGACAGGCAGTCAATAAATGTGTGTTGAGTAAATGGGAGAATCTTAGAATCAACTTGTGACAAAATCAATGGGAAAGCCAACCCCAGTGATGTTGAAAGCATTGCCCTGCCCTCGCCTAGACATCTCAATTCTGGTGTTCTAATCTTGTCACTTGTTTTCACAGTTATACTTCAGTACTTTAGTAAAGGGAACTTGCATACTGTAGGGCACAGGTTGGGGACAACTGATGAGGCAATTGTACGATGTAGCTGGAAAAGGACTATAATTGGCTCCTGTTCTGGAATCTGGGGCCAGTGAAGACAGTCCAAGGGTGACAGAGCTCCCATTTTTGTCTTTTGTATACTCTGTGTACCACCTTCCTGCCCAGAGACATCTTGAGTATGAGGAAATAGGGAGAGGTAAGCACAAGAGACAAGAAAGAAAAAAAATCTAATGTTATTGTGTGTCTGCTACATGCTGAACAGGTATTATTCCTCATTTCTTAGATATGGAAACTGTCCACTGAAGTGGATGGGCATTGTCTGCCAATGCCAGGTGGGTGTGTCAGCAGGAAGTTTGCTTCAACAGATACCCTTGGGTTTCTCTTCTTCCCTGCCTCCTGCTTCAAGAAACCTAGCATGGATTGTGTGATGGTGATCCATCCCTGTGCAGAGTCACTGAGATGTTTGCTCTTCCCCCACAGTGGTGTCCTGTGGCCATCCGAGCTCCCCGCCTCACTCCCAGATGTCCGGAGACAGCTATACTGTGGGAGCAGTGGTGCGGTACAGCTGTACTGGCAAGCGAACTCTGGTGGGAAATAGCACCCGCATGTGTGGGCTGGATGGACACTGGACTGGCTCCCTCCCTCACTGCTCAGGTATGGTGCATAGCATTGAGGAAAGGGCTCCAATGGAATGCTTGACTGATGGGAGGTGGACGAGCCCCCAAGGTGTGAGAGTGATTAATGGATGTGAGGGAATCAGACCTCGGAACCCTTATATCTTCCCTCACAGGTAGAGAGCACAGCGAGACAAAGTCCCAATGGAGCTTTATCCTCTGGTGGGCTGAGTCCAGCTTTATCCCCTCAGTCAGCTCTGACCATGCCCAGGGATTGCAAAACTAGGAAGGGCACAACTTTTTAGGTCAACCTATGGCCAGAATCCTGTCCAGATACTTGGTTTTATGAGTTCCTGGGGACAGTTCAAGTCTTTCTGATGAACTCAGGTCCAAGCCCACTCCTGTACTCTTTACTTCTCTGTTTCAGACTCATAGGCCCCAGCTTCCTTCCCTTTCTTATCACTGCCCCTCAACTTGTCCTATGTCCTGGCTACCTAGTGGGATGCAGTCTTCTTCCCTACTGCCTTGAAACACCAGTCCCCAGACTTTTCCTATTAAGTTCATTTTACTGCTAATGAGGACACTGACAGATGCTATCAAAATAGCAAATGTAGAGAACTGCCAAAGGTCCTATAGCCATAGTATCCAAACCAGAAATGAATGTGTAATGTCATATAACAGAACAAAATTTTGCAAGTGAATTGTCCTGCTAATAGCAGAAACCACGAAGCTAAAATATTAGTACCTGGCAGCTTTGTCTTCTTTGAGGGAGGCCTGCCTGGCCCTAGGAAGGGATTCCATGTTGCCTGCAAGAGGGCAGCTGCTTGTGAAGCTTGATGCTCCTCAGAGGGCCCACCTTGGCATTGAAATTAACCCCTAGCCCTTCCCATGCCAGAACCCTTCAGAGGAAAGGATCATGACCTCCTCCTAGGATCAAGCCTTCTCCTTGATGTGAGACCTTACCTATAAGATGTGCCACTGTTCTTGAAGTTTGACATTCCCAGATAAGCCTGCCTCCCAAAAGTTAGGTCACTGCCAGAATATTTAACGAGATATTCAGTAGATCTCTCCAGAAAGAAGAGAGTCCCAAAGCCACTATTTCAAAGGGCTGTTGGTTGCCCAGGAAATCCCAGACACATCACTCTATATGACCACCCAGGACTTTGGCCTCTCACCCCTATTAATCTCATTAGTCACCTAATTAAGGAACTGGGCAGGACCATATAGGAGCCATGATGACTCATTTAGCTGGGCTAGAGGAAGGCCTGTTAACTGCACCCTGGCTTATTTCTGTTTGGACATCTGGTGGAAGTGATAGGCAATACAGCATGAGAGGACAAGGGTCATGTACATTGCCTCTCCAGCCTCCTGGAGCTCTCTGAAAACAGAATTAGAAGGGATTCAATCTACACGAAGGCTGGACAATGAGTGAACCTTAAATCTCCTGGATGAGAACATGAGAGATGAGAAGAATAGGCGATGAGGAAGTAACACTAGGTATATACCACAGATCTAGAGATAGTTCCTCCCTTTCTGAAACAGATGTCATCTTTTGCAGTGACATGTCCTGCCAGTCCTATGAAATACACATTCATGAATTCCAGGTCAGAGTTTTTAGTCTCACTGTGTACAAGCAGTGGACCCAACTGTTGCACAACAAAACCTCCTAAGTCCTTGAGTCATACACCACTGGGCCACCAAGGCTATGGAGAGATTCCTGGAGTTTGAGACCTACTTCAGGAAGTTTCCCACCTACATCTACACTGTCATTCTCTTTACCTCTTTGGCAAATAGTTGCCATCTATCTGCTGTGCCCCCATGGTGCAATATCCTGTCCAGACTCCCTTCTACCACTGAACTAGAAGCCTCCAATACTGTAGTGGGGGCCATTCTTTCAGAAAAAGCCCCTAGGACTGAACACCATTGTATTAGTCTGTTCTCATACTACCAAAAGACATACCTGAGACTGGGTAATTTATAAACAAAGAGGCTTAATCAGCTCATGGTTCTGCAGGCTGTACAGGCTTCTGCTTCTGAGAAGGTCTCAGGAAACTTAAAATCATGGCAGAAGGGGAAGCAGGCACATCTTCACATGGCTGGCAGGAGAGAGAGAGAGCAAAGTGCGACACAGTTTCAAACAACCAGATCTCAGGAGAACTCACTCACTATTGCGAGAACAGCAAGGGGGAAATCCACCCCATGATCCAATCACCTTTCACTAAGTCTCTTCCCCAACTTGGGGATTACAATTCAACATGTGGTTTGAGTGGGGACACACAGCCAAAACAGTTAACCATCTTGTGCCTATTTTACAATAGTACCGGCTTCAGCTGAGGTCAGCTAGCCAGTGTGTGGGTCAGAGCTGCTCACCATCAAGATTGTTTCCAGGGAAACCCAGTTCTGCCTGTTGCGTGAATTACATGGAAATCTTCAAAAGATAAGAAAGCCTAGCCAAATGTGATGAGCTCTCTTTTATTAATGTTTACATTGAAGGTTGAAAATGAATCCCCCTTCCATGGTGGGAAGCAGAATGGAGAACATGTGGTTATGTAGTGTCTTACAATCTGAGTCTAGACTAGAAAAGGGAATAATCCCAAGGCTGAGAAGTGGAAGAGACATAAATGGCAAGTGGTGAGATACACATGACTTAAACATTTATTGGCTCCAGCAAACTAGATGTGGTCACTCAGATGTTACCATTTGATGCCCACACATGGTTACATGAGGAGATAGATTCCATGACAGTTGTAACTTTATCTTTTCATGCAGTTGTCATTTATTCTGTAACTTTTCTCCTCTTTCCTCATGTTTACCATGGCCTGGTCTGGTCTAAGGACATCTCCTACACATTTCTGTATCATGAAATGTGTTGGTCCTGCAGGGGACCATAGATCTTGTGGCTTTGTCTCCTGTTCTCTACCCTTCTTCACCCCTTGGGTCCTTAGAGGTCTCTTGAGTGGGTTTGCACAATACCAGAAGCCAGAGAAATGCAGGAATGTAGCAAGAGGAAAGGGGTGGAGCAAAAATGAAATAAGAGGGTCTGAGATGTTTATTCTAGAGCTCACTTGTATTGCATAATTTGTGAGTAGCGAATCCTCAATGAAAGGCCCAGCATCGATCACCTTGAATAGTTATCATTTCTTTGTGGTGAGAACGTTTAAAATTCTCTTCTACGGCTACTTGGAAATATACAATACATGCATGAAAACATCACCTCATACCCCATAAATATATACAATGATTATTTATCAATTAAAGATAAAATGAAACTTTTCTAAAAGTAATAAATAAATAAATAAATAAATAAATAAATAAATAAAGGCCCAAGATCAAGATTCAAGCTAGGCAGTTGAGAAATGAAGCTATGCTAAGGAGTTTGGACTTTATCCTGTGGGCACTGGGGAGCCAGTAGAGATGTTTCTGCAGGAAAAAATTTTTGAAAAAAAGAAAAGGTCAGCTGGTTAGTGATTGTTAAGATTAGAGGAAAAAGTAGAAGATGGATTCGAGGGAGAGTTTACAAGGAGGGGACATTAGTTGGGAGGCTCTTGCAAACGTTTAGGCAAAAGAATGTTGAACGTCTAAGCTAAGACAATGTCACGGGAGAGGACATGGGACTACAGAATCAGCAGGTGTTTGTAGGGAAGAGGGAAAGGGGAGAAGGAGGACCTGTGGCCAGTGTGGATCACTGAAATTCCAGACTGGCATGGGCCACAGAGCCTTTCCTCTGCCGCCTTGCTTCCCTTCCCTGTGTGGTTCCCGGGGACTTACCCATGGCCTCAGATCTTTGTGTTCTTCCATCATGGCACAGGGAGACAGGAGCATGTGCAGGTAACTTGTGCTAGGCCTCATTCATGGGACCCACTGCTTCCTCTTAGTCACATCCCAGTATCTTTCTCACCTGCTTCTCTACTCCCTTTGCTTCCCTGAAAAACAATGGGGTTTGTGTGGTTCTGGTCCATAGGAACTAGCATGGGAGTTTGCGGTGACCCTGGGATCCCGGCTCATGGCATCCGTTTGGGGGACAGCTTTGATCCAGGCAGTGTGATGCGCTTCAGCTGTGAAGCTGGCCACGTGCTGCGGGGATCATCAGAGCGCACCTGTCAAGCCAACGGCTCGTGGAGCGGCTCGCAGCCTGAGTGTGGAGGTAATGTATGTGACCATTCTGCTTCTCCCCTTTGCCCAGTCCCAAAGCTCGCCCCTGCTCCTGCTCTTATTCCCAGGCACCTGCCCTCACAGAGGAAACCATGGCCCCATTTGAACCCTCAGCCTGGCTGATAGGGACTGCAACAGAAAATTCATGTGCATATTCATTAGTATAATCAAAAGACAAACATATTCCCACCCTCACCTCAAAAGGGAAGAAATAAAAAAAAGACTGAATTTGACTCACTATATCCTTCATTTCCCATATAGTTTCATTCAGCAGCTATATGCCAAGTGCTGTGGAATGTGCTGGGGACACAGTGGTGACCAAGACGGACATTGCCATGGTCTGGATGTTTGTGACCTCCCAAAATCATAGGTTGAAACCTGGTCACCCAGTGATAGTATTCGCAGGCGGGGTCTTGGGAAGTTGTTAGGTCATGGAATGGGATTAGTTATCTTATTGAGAAAAGAAAATACCTTAGAAAGCTCCCTTTCCCTTGTGCCATGTGAGGACACAGCAAGAAGGCACCATGTCCAAGTCTGAACAGACGGAGACACACATCTTGCTCTCCTGGGGCTTACAGTCTAAGAGAAGAGGCTACATGAAACAAATATTCAGTGTGCCAAAAGATATACAAATCCAATTTTAGAAAACTCTCAAAGTAATCTAGGCCCTCAGTGATGTTGCCTGAGGTAGTGCCAGTGGGATAAATTATCATTTTTCCATATATTCCCAAGTTTCTGGGGAAAAAAATATATTTTTTAAATCTCTCTCTCCTCTTGCAGCTGGTCCCCAAATGTCTCTGTCTCTCTCTTTCTGAAATACAGCCTGCATAGTACTCTCCTAGGCAGGAAGCAGGTTTAACAGCTGAGAGTAAGGTTGAGTGAGAAGATCTGGAAGAGGAAGGAGATGATATGAAATAATCATCTAGCAAGATACGAGTGGAATGGAATTGGAAAGTGTATAATGGCCGGGCAGCACTGAGCGCTCACTTAAGGTGGAGGATCATTAATTTAAAGTGAGAGCAGTCAGCATGGGACCGTGTTTTTGTTTAAGCTCATTTTGCTACCTAGTTGTGGGCACAGAGCAGATAGTGCATTGGGTACAGAGCTGGAGGTTTGCCAAGCAACTAAGACATTGGCAGAAGCGGCAAGGGAAAAAAGGGTGAATGTGAGGCAGAGATTATGATGGATCTTGGCATTTAAGCTGGGTAAGGAGGGAGCAGATGTTTGAGTGGAGTAAAAGGCAGTGAGAAAGTGGTAGGATCAATGGATTACAGGTCGCCATAGGACCAAATAATCACCAGAAAACGAATTCCAGAGGGAGGGAGCTGAGGGGACAAGAGGCAGTGGTTAGAGAGCAGGCTGCTGGAAACTGAGATTGTGGAGTAGTCCTGCAGAACAAGGGAAGATGTGCTAGCCCAGGGGAATCCAATCTTTTGGTTCCCTGGGCCCCACTGGAAGAAGAATTATGTAGGGCTACACATAAAATACACTAACACCAACAATAGCTGATGAGCTGAAAAAAAATCACAAGAAGGTCTCATAATGTTTTAAGAAAGTATATGAATTTGTGTTGGGCCGTATTCAAAGCCGCCCTGGGCCACATGCAGCCTGTGGGTTGCAGGTTGGACAGGTTTTCTCTAACCCGTCACCACCAGGGGACTCCTGCCTAGGAAATGAAACAATGGAGTCGGAGCCCTCTCCCACTTGTCTCCCCAAAATCCTGCCTTTTCTGGGAGTGCTATTTGCAAAGTTAGTTTCTATAGAATTTTGCAGGCATAGCAAGAGAGGTTTGTGGCATTGGGAGAGTGTAATGCAAGGGAGAATTTAGTATATTCTCACATATGAATGTGACCCACATCCACATCCATACCACTGAGATCCCAGCGTGGAGTCAATTACCATGTCAGTTACCTGAATGTTCAGAGACAGAAAGTGGATGGTTATGGTTATGAGTTTGGACCCAGAAGTGAATGTTTGTTAAATGAAAGAGAGAGAGAATACACATATGCACACAACTCTGATGACTTGACAAACTCCTACCTGTCCTTAAAGGTTCTACTCAAACTCCTATCTCCAGCCCCAATAAGCTGCTTCCTTCTTAGTGCTTTTTCTTTTCAACTATAACACTTAATATGTCATACCTTAATTCATCTGTTGATAGGTAGGTTTCTTAGAATAGAATAAGCTCCTCAAGGGCAGGGGACATAGACTGGTCATTGTTGTATTCTGGGCACCTAGGCAGCACGAATGTTTGTTGAATGAATGAATGCCAAGTCCTACCTGTTGTGCTAATTGTATAGGAATCATTTTGTAGATTTTATTTTGGGACCACATAAATGTTGTACATATTTAGAAAATTAAATCAAAGATTAGAAACATGCAATCTCTAAATATTAGAATCCTTACGGAAACAAATGAACCTAACCATGTATCAAGTTGATGACTTAATAACCCCAATAATTATTTCAACTGACTTGAAAAAATGGAATTTGACTGCGGTGTGTATCCTAAGGACAAAGAGAACTACAAAGGAATCTTAAACTGTTTTCGGCAATCATATTGTTAACAATAATATTGATATTACTATCCTGAAACTATTGTATATGCAATACCATAATATATATGGATAAAACAAACAAGTTATAAGTAATTTATTGTCATTAAGAAGATTTTCAGAATAAAAGAAAGAAAATATAAAAATTTAAAAGTTAAGGAAAAAACTTTAATCCTAAATTTGGATTGATAATATCAGTATAAACTCATAATACATTTTCTCTTTTTAATTATGTTTTATTTGTTCAAATGTATGGGTTACATGTGAAATTTCGTTATATACATACATATAATGCACAGTGGTCAAGTCAGGGCATTTAGAGTATCCATCACCCAAGTACATTACATTTTTGACTACAGTCTCCCTACTCTGATATCAAGCATTGAACTTATTTCTTCTTTCTAACTACATTTTCATGCCCTTTAACCCACTTCTCTTCATCCTCCTGACTCACCCTTCCCAGTCTCTATTATCTGTTTTTCCACTGTCTACCTCCACATGATCCCAGTGTATTTTCACTTTAAGAAGTTATTTTCCCAGCCCTAACTCTAGAATCAATGACCAGGTCAGTGGCAATGAGTAATCTTAGTGCCTGGATTGTGGTCCGTTCTCCATTAAAAGAAACTAGACTCTTTGGAGAAATGACTAATTTCCAGGCTGATGCAGGAAATATACAAGACAAATACGGAACATCTTGTCAATCCAGCAAGGATTCCACCAAAGATAACTGAGGTCATGTTAACGGGACTCGGGAGCCAACTGGAAGAGGCTCCTATTGGCTAAAGATGGAGAATCTGAGCATCAATAAGAATAATAATGGCAATGGATGGGAACATAAAAAATATCTTTAGATTCATGAGTTCAAAATGATTCTTAAATAAACACATTAGTCACCTTTGGAGTTTGCTAGGAAACCAACTCATTATTCTGACATTTGATTTAAAATAAAAACCACACACAAAAAATCAAGCATTATCTTGCCTTCCTATATGAACGGTATTTCAGGATAAGCAAATATTTGATGATAGAAAATTTCTTTCTTAAAGAACTCTGGCTAATGCAGAAAGAATGATAGAATATCACCACTTTCCAATCCCTAATGAAATAATGAATCTAGTCAATGACTGCTAAAACTATTAACCGAAAAACTAATGGAAACCTCATAATGCCACATTAGGCAGGCATGCCTGAAATCATTGATGAGCCTCAACATCATGAACAAGAAAACACCCAGATACTCTGTGCTTCCTGATCCAACGCAATAGGAAAGGCCCAAAACCACCTATGAATACCATTGCCAAAAGGTGGAAGTTGATTACAGGAAGGAACTACAGGGGATAGAGGAATATGTTAAACTATATCTCATTGATGCAGTTAGCAAAATCCAGAAAGTGTGACGTTCTACAGGAAAGATGTTCTGGTTTCTGTAACAAATAAATTATAGAAGCAGAAATAATCATCTCTGGGTTTAAAGTCTTAGAGACGTGTCAACCAAATGTCATGTGTGGACCCTATTTTGATCCTGACTCAAACAAATCAAGTGTTAAAAAAAGAGAAAGACAACTGAGGAAAATCAAGCACTGATTGGATATTTGGTGATATTAAGCAATTGTGTTCAAAATTTTAAGGACGATAATAGCAAGATCATCTTTTTTCTTTAAAAAACTAGAATTTGTTGAGAAAATTTGAAAGATTCATAGGGATCTCTCCTTCCTGTCTAGGGGTGAGATAATTCGATACAAAAGCAGCATGAGAGGCATTTCTATCCACGGGGTCCCGAGGTAGCATGTGGCTTCCACTGGGTGGTTCTTAGTCCCCCCGGATGATGACCTCCATTGTTCTGGTGAATAACGTGTATTTTTGTCTTCCTAGTGATCTCTTGTGGGAACCCTGGGACTCCAAGTAATGCCCGAGTCGTGTTCAGTGATGGCCTGGTTTTCTCCAGCTCTATCGTCTATGAGTGTCGGGAAGGATACTACGCCACAGGCCTGCTCAGCCGTCACTGCTCAGTCAATGGTACCTGGACAGGCAGTGACCCTGAGTGCCTCGGTGAGAGCCCAGGCCCTACGGGCTCCATGGCCAACAGTGGCCCAGATCCTGCATGCCAGAGAAGAAGGCTATCCATGGAAGATGGTGCAGGATGGTTGGGATGGTGGGACATGAGCCTGAACGAGAATCATATGAATAGCCTCTGTTGAGCATATGCTGTGTGGCAGCCACTGAGCGAAGTACTTTGTTTCATATGCACATGTCATTTGATCTTCACCATAACTCCACGAAGTAGCTACTGTTATCCCCATTTTGTATATGAGATGGCTGACGCTCACAGAGGCAGAGAATGTATATTGGCCATTTCTCAGGCTGTAGCCAATTCCTTGGGCTTTCCCTTTTCTCTCTTATGATCAAACCCCGTAACTCAACCTGATTCTCTTTTCACTTCAAAGATGTGGCTATCCACCATCTTTGTTGCTTCGTTCTCTCCTTGTACCCGACCCCACCCAGTAGGGGTTCCTGAGCACAGTGTAGCCTCACAGCTCCCATTTCTTGCTTTTCTCAAGGGTTGTCCCAGACCTTTTCCAGGAAAAGTGAGTCACTGTGGGATCCAGATGGAGGGAAGAGATAGGATAAGGAAATGTGACAAGATTCTCCCTGTCAAAGCCCTAGTCTGTAATTTCAGCTCCATCTAAAATCCCATGTCAAGTTCACTTTGGTTTTGAGACCAGAGCTCACCAAGCCCCACCCTCAATTATATGATGACATAGGCATAACCCTTTCATGGGCCATAAGACCCTGCTTCCGGGCTGTTGTCCCTACGAGTCCTCTGTAGGTGCTGTTGGGCCTACAGAGGCCTCATAGGTACAACAGCAGGTGATAAGATGTACCCCTCAACAGACAAATCAATTGTCTTATGTGGTTCATTAATATACCTGAGGCTCTTCAAACAGAAAATTCCCTTTCCCTGGGCACCAGCCTCTTTTAGGAACTGAGCCCTCTGGATACTTCCTCTTAGAAGGGGCACTTTGAATAAAGTGAACCTTCATAGCCCAAGTTGCAGTGGTGCCTAAGGACAGTATGGGCAAGAACAGGGCTAATGCCAGGGATTTGACCAAACAAAATTTAAAATGGGCAAGCTGGTGTGGTGGCTCATGCCTGTAGTCCCAGCTACTCAGAAGACTGAGGTGGGAGGATTGCATGAGCCCAGGAGTTCGAGGCTGCAGTGAGCCATGACTGTGCCTCTGCACTCCAGCCTGGGTGACAGAGTGAGACCCTGACTTAAAAAAAAAAGAAATTTACAATGGGTAATGTCCAACTGGGATCCTGTGAGGAGACAGGGCATCCCTAATCTGACAGTTTCCATTCTTGGATGCGTGCAGGGAGTGATAGGGATGGTATTGGAGAAGTGGGGTCCCGGCTGGGAGTGAACAGTGCTGTATCTCTCTTATCCTAGTCATAAACTGTGGTGACCCTGGGATTCCAGCCAATGGCCTTCGACTGGGCAATGACTTCAGGTACAACAAAACTGTGACATATCAGTGTGTCCCTGGCTATATGATGGAGTCACATAGAGTATCTGTGCTAAGCTGCACCAAGGACCGGACATGGAATGGAACCAAGCCTGTCTGCAAAGGTGTGTCTGGGGCTGCAGATGTGGACAGAGGGTCAAAAAGATACGAAAGTGAGATGTAGGCCCTGAGCATCTATCTAGAGGGGAGAGGGGTGAGAGGCCAACCCTAACATCTTATCAGGGAATGTTCAAAGTGAGAAAACTCTCCCCTGAACATCTGCCAGGAGCGAATCAGAAGTACCAAGATAAGGCCTGGGCCATGAACATTGAGGGGAGGGTCCCACAAACAGAGGACTGGGTTGTCACACTTGAGAGAGGGCATTGTAAGGTACAAAAAGATCAGAACTCCCACAGTAAGCGGGCCCCGTTCTGGTTCTTCCTGCTTAGCCCAGGCTCCAGGCGGGTGCAGGGTAGTCGGTGATATCAATGATGGTGATGCGGGCTGGTTTCCCAGGACAGCATCAGAACTCAGCCTTCTTTGGTTTCCCTCCAGCTCTCATGTGCAAGCCACCTCCGCTCATCCCCAATGGGAAGGTGGTGGGGTCTGACTTCATGTGGGGCTCAAGTGTGGCTTATGCCTGCCTGGAGGGGTACCAGCTCTCCCTGCCCGCGGTGCTCACCTGTGAGGGAAATGGGTCCTGGACCGGAGAGCTACCTCAGTGTTTCCGTAAGTTGCTCACAAGGCCCTTTGGTGCATCCTATTCGATAGCTCCTTCCCCTTGCCTCCTTGGAGCTTTGTGGCTGGAAGGCCCGGAATCGGTAGTCCCCTCCCCAAAACCAGGGAGGAGCTTCATCAAAGACACTATCAAAGAGGGAAGGAAGTGGAAAGGAAGAAAATGAGGATCCCTTAATTGAGCCCTGGTGTCAGACACTGTCTAGAGTCACAGAAGGAAATTAAGCTGGAGATATTGGGGGTGGTTTTTTACCTGAAGGGTTGTTAACTGTATGGAATAGTACTCAAAGATCTGGGGGTACCCAGTGCTAGATACATGTCTGTTTTCATGAAAAATGGCCTGCACAGAAAAGACTTCTGGGAAACCTGTGCTTTTCTGGTGAGTTGCTTTATTTTTTATCCACCTAGCCCAGTTGTATCCTGAGGAGCCCCAAGTCTATTCCAGGGCTTACTCCTTACTGAGATCCCCAGTAAGCAGGTTCTGGGTCACTTATTCTTGTCACACCCCATGAATGGGCTCTGGAAGGCTTTCTCCATGCCCGTGCTTTGGACAAACAGTAGGATGTATTTTTCTAATTGCCATTTATCTAATTCTGCAGAAAACTATCCACATACTCATGATACTGTTTTGGGTTCCTCTGAAAATTTGCTTCCATCTGGGAATTTCCGCAGAGATTAGAGCCAGCAGCTCAAAACTGGACACAGATGTTTGGTGTAATGTTACCCTCTCCAACCTTCACATACTACCAGGGTCAAGTCTGGACTCAGCAACCTTGCTTTTCCTCTGGAGAAATAGCTGAAGTGCCTTTTAACAATGAATTACGTCATCATGAAAAAAATTTTACCCATTAGAAAATACAAAAAAGAAAGTAAAAGTCATCTGAACTCGCACTTTCCAATGATAACCACAGTTCAGCTTTTGATGGTGTCCCACGTGAATCACTGTGCATTTTTGCATAGATAGTGATATGTATACATTTTTGAGAACTGGTATTGGCTCATGCCGTACGTACTGTTTCATAACTTGTATTAATTGATAGGCCGCCAAAACCTTTTCATCAATACCTTTCTACCTTTCTTTGTCAGTATTTACTGATCTATGAATCATCATTTTTAATGGCTTTAAAGAATTTCCTTGTAGATACAAGTTGTTTAATCTTTTCGTACTGGTGATGAATTTAGATTATCTCCAACTTAATCATGTTAGAAGCAGTTCTGCAATATGTATTCCTGAAAATTGCTTTTCTTGGCCGGGTCCAGTGTAATCACTGTGGGAGGCCGAGGCGGGAGAATCACGAGGTCAGGAGATCGAGACCATCCTAGCTAACAAGGTGAAATGCTGTCTGTACTAAAAATACAAAAATTAGCCAGGCATGGTGGCGGGCGCCTGTAGTCCCAGCTACTCAGAAGGCTGAGGCAGGAAAATGGTGTGAACCCGGGAGGCGGAGCTTGCAGTGAACCAAGATTGCACCACTGCACTCCAGCCTGGGCAACAGAGTGAGACTCTGTCTCAAAAAAAAAAAAAAAAAAAAGCCTTTCTTTACTCCTGCAGCAAAGCCCTAGGCATGACAATGCTGGGCCAAAGGCAGTCATGCCTCCCTTCTTGACATATGTTGTCAAACTGTCTTCTAGAAAGTGTCCCAATTTACATTCCCCACAGCAGTTTATGAGAATGTTTCTGGATACACCCTCATCAACAATGGATTGTGCCAGTATTTTTAAATATTTACCAGCCTGAGGAGCTTAAAAAGATAGCTCATTACTTTAATTGGCATCACGTTGCTTATGAGAAAGGCCACGCCAGTTGTTCTTCACTTGTCAGCCATTTGTGTTTCTGGTTCTTTCCGTTGCCTCCTTCTGGATACAGTAACTTCCCATCAGTCGATTTTTAAACTGACTTCTAATTGGTCAGCATAGACTCCCCAACCTTCAGGGCAGAGGCCGCAGGTCCAGCTTCATTTTATTTTGCATGTGGTTATGTACCTCATGACCCTATGTACACATACAAACACGCACACACACACACATTTGCATTATAGCATAAAGCGATGCTTGAAGTGATATCATGGTGAGCTTTGCCTTTGGTAGTCAATTTTTAGTGACACTCCCTGATGTTAACATGGCCTGAATGAAATGGGTATACCCATATACTACCCCGGTCCAGCTTCATTTTATTTTGCATGTGATTATGTACCTCATGACTCTGTGTACACATACAAACACACACACACACATTTGCATCATAGCATAAAGCGATGCTTGAAGTGATATCATGGTGAGTTTTGCCTTTGGTAGTCAATTTTTAGTGACACTCCCTGATGTTAACATGGCCTAAATGAAATGGGTATACCCATACACTATCCACCGCACTGTAAATGTGTACCCTTTAGGGAAGGACATTTGACACTACACATCAAGAGCTGTGAACATGTTCAACTGTTTAGAAAGAATAAGTTCACTCCTAGAGAATTCTCCTAAGAAAGTAATATACATGAAAAGAAAAAATGAAAAAAAAAATAATACATGTGAAAGAAGAGTTATATATAACTGTACAATAGAAAATGCCCAATTTAAGGGTTATGATATTATTATGGCACAACCACTTGTTGCTAATTGTGTAGCCAATAAGTGAGGATGATGTCATAAACATAGAAAATGTTTACAAGATAATGGTAAGTGAATGAAACAAGATTTACGATCACATGGACTTGGCTTTGCCGCTCCTCACAAGTTTACATACAACTGAATAAAGACTAAAAAAGAACATGCGTGAAAATGGAAAAAAGTTTTGGAGAGTGGGATTGTCGTTTATTTTCCTTTCATGTTATAAACTTCCTGTAATGTTACTCCATTACTTGGATCATTATTAATAGGCACTTTGAATGTAGAAGGGAGAGGAAGCCCCCATCACCCGCAGCACCGCAGCGGGCGGAAGCAGCTACCTGGGCTGCCCCGGTTCCCAGAGTTCAAGCCTAACCAGGAAGGGAACAGTGCAAAGAGCAAAGGTGGGGGTGTGGAACTGTAAGATTGGGTTCCAGAAAGCAACTCAGACCTGCCTTTCTCCCTTCGTCTTCTCAGCTGTGTTCTGCGGGGATCCTGGTGTCCCACCCCGTGGTAGGAGAGAGGACCGAGGTTTCTCCTACAGGTCATCTGTCTCCTTCTCCTGCCATCCCCCTCTGGTGCTGGTGGGTTCTCCACGCAGGTTTTGCCAGTCAGATGGGACGTGGAGTGGCACCCAGCCCAGCTGCATAGGTGAGAGGTCATCTGGGGCAGAGAGCATCCTGGCTGGGGAGGAGGGACCTTCTTTGGGGCCTGAGATGATCACTTTCCTTCCGTGTCTTCAGTGGTCTCATCTGCAAAAGGGAACATCTCCTCCTCTGAGCTTCTGCAGCAGGATGTAAAATAGCCAGAGCTAGTGTGCTTCGAGGAGTCAAATAGGCAGCCAGGGCCAAGGCTCAGGTGGGGATCTCAGTGGGCAGGGAAGTCACGATGTGGCCCCATTTTCTTTTCTACACCTATTTCCCAGAGTGAGA